GTGATCAACCAAATGCGACTCAGCCGCGTATCAGGGGGTCAAAGTTTGACTTTGACTCGGTCTGACCGTCATTTTTCCCTCGGACCTTTCGTTCGCAAATTTACGCACGACACAATGGTAGACGGGATCACTGAAGATTTACTGCAAGCAGACCTCTGCAGTCTTTCCCATTCAATCCATTATAGGTGATTCTATACTGGCAACTTTGAAGCTACTTCTTCTGCTTTCTCTCCTACTGCGAATAGTCAAGCAAAGGTGTTGGTTGACGTACAGAAATATATCTAAATGTTATGTGATGAACAATTCTCCGAATATGGTACGTGAGATATTTAGAGAATCTGCTGAGAAACCTTATCGGAGACGATCGGACACTGCTTAAGCGGACACGGATCAGCATCAGAGACGAGAACGATCCCGTGATCTCATCCATTTGATAGATTTCGTGGGCAGGGAGCTCCCCTCTTCAGGGAGAGGAACAACCTCAAACTCTGAGGCAAATTTCTCATCGGTGTCAAACGATTGAATTCCGAGTTTGGTCCACCAGGATCCGAACACAACGACAGATTTTCCTCCCGATCTTCCTCTGTTAACATCGGGGTTTCTCCCGTTGCGCCGTTTGTTTTAAATTGTTAACCACTGACATTTATTGACGTTCCTAGACTCACCCTTGTTAGATCTTAACAAAGAGATCTTGTACCAGCCATCTGTGGATATCCTTGAGAACTGCTTTCTACCTCTCTTTCAGCCAATTTTTCAGTCTGTTCTACTTCGCCTGCCGTTTGAATAAAGCTTCATAAGGTGGAAGCGAAGTTTTCTCGAAAAACAAGATTTCCATATGGCGACAGTCTTGTACCTAGCAAGAGAAAACTAGCGATAAATTCGAATGTGTTATGTATCTCTCATATCCGTCCGTCGCATGTGCAATTTTCTCGCGAATTATAGAAAAAAAGAGTGCAAAGATGCGACTCGAAAGCATCGGTTATCGGTGAATTTCGAGGCCGTCGTTATTGCGGCGCGAGAAATTTGCAATCCTCCAGCGACTGTTCGCTGTCGCGAGCGAAATGATTAATCTTGCTCCAAGCCGCGACTCGTTATTTATGAACTGCGTTCTGTCGTTGAAAATACATTCCGCGGTTAATCGACGCTTACACGAAGACCGATTACCCGCGGCCTGGCGACACACGCCGCTCTGACAGACTAATTAATTGGCTATTAATGATCCGGCGCATGCGAGATGATCCGCACGGCCTTCCTGTTTGCGCCGGTGAACGTCGGCGACTTTGTATCGGCCTTCGAATATTATATTACGCAACTCTTAATGCGCGAATGTGTAACTTTCTTATCCGATCGTTTTACTCTGTATCCTCGCGCAATTAGCACGAATTCCGACTCATTATCCGTGTCTCATCCTCGATGATACTGGAAAATTGACGTTGTGGAAATATTGATATAATACGAGGAGCTGACAATGAATCGACACGCTGCCTCGGCTGCTCTCTGATAAAAGACGGAGCTGTCCTTTGACTTTCGGTCAGAGAAAAATCGGTCGAAGAGAAAATGCAAAGAAGCAGGTCTCACGCGTTCACTGCTGCCGCTGCTGCTACCTTGGTTCCTTGGTCCAAGGAACAATAGTCATCTACCAAAAATCACAAATGAATGAATATCTTGTAGAGTCGAAAAGAAATGGCCACCGCAGACTGAGTCGTTGATGCGGCCCGGTGGGCCGCTTTAATGTCCGGCTGCGAAACGTTGACGAGATGATCTCGGCGGTCGGATTGCATTTTCTACAAAAGAGACGCCGCACAGACTGACGCACGAGGCAAGTTGCAAGAATGCGCTGTGTGGTCGAATGCAGTGAATTATGCACGGCGTAACGGTCTACTTGATTGTCGTCTCCGTTGTCAGGTAGGCGGATCGAGACTCGGCGCAATTTGCATCTGTTTGCGAGTCCTCGCCCACCGCCCCTCTTTCGCTGGCTCATCAGAGAGCGATGTATATCGTTCCTTTTTCACGCCCGCGTACCACCCGATCGTCTTTTTACACAGCCGGATCGTCATTACGTTCTCGAGCACACCTGAGACCGTCCGATACCGACCGCCTTTTTGTCGCGCGGGATTATTAAACCGACAGCTCCGAAAAGGCGGAGCGCGATAACGGAATTTTCAGCCGCTGAATTCCCCCCCCCTACCCCTCGAAACAACCCCTTTCTCCGTCTCCTTTACGCACGTAAAGGACATTCTATCGCTCTCTCTCTCTCTCTCTCTCTCTCTCTCTCTCTCTCTCTCTCTCTCTCTCTCCTCTCTCTCTCTCTCTCTCTCTCTCTCTCTCTCTCTCCTTCTCTCCGTAAAATCTCAACATGAAACCGTAGCTCTTCGACGAGATTATTACCTTGCTGCGAAAGAAAAGCGAAATGCGGGTGTTTGAAGGGAGTGTATGAATGGTTTACGAGACATTCAGCGGTGCTTTTCGGCAATCATTCGCGCCTCGCCAAGAGGAAATAGGCCAAATAATAGGTGGTGTAGTCTATGGTTTTCCGAGATTCGCAGCGCGACGAAATCCCGAGTCGCAATAACGTTCGATTCGTTCCGTGAGATCGCAATTTGGTCGAATCCGGTCTCTGTTTTCTTCTGCTCTCCTTTCCTCCTCCCCTCTCTTTCTCTCTTAAATACGAACTAGTCCTCCTTCCGCTCTTAACCCATGGCCCACTCGTCATTCATGTCCATCGATGTTTATTACCATTCTGTTTACGTACCCTCTCGCACAAACAGAAGGCTCGCAGGGGACGACACGCATTAACCTGGAATATACCAGGGCGAACTAGTGGATCTTCCGTTGTAACCGACGTGACGTTGCGTTGGGGGTCCTTGTCAGCGGGGTACCAGCGCACAAATCCTTCAAAAACAAGCTCCCAAATGTCTTTGTGTCCATCTCTATACTTGGTTCGAATTCTTCGCGAATCAGATTCCTTTTGACCGACTCCGTTTTCTCATGGTAAGCGCCGCCAAAACTACCGCATGGCGGTTGTCGCCTGCGCGGTCATCTACGAGCGCGGTCAATGTCGAATTTTCACGCGTTTTTCACGTTGACAGAGGTCAAAAAAAGACAGAGGTGAAAAACGCTCCGCTTCTGGATAGAGATGTAGCTTATTCACGTCGGCTTGCGGTCGAGTTGGTTGTTTGAAGTAGTATAAGGGTGGAGAAGGGAAGCCGGAACTAGAGAGAGAGAGAGAGAGAGAGAGAGAGAGAGAGAGAGAGGGAGAGTTTGAGGATTCATATAAATTTTGGGAAAAATATCAGGTAGAGGTGCGAATGTGAAAAAAGAGAGAAATAACTTGTGGAAACTTTATCTTTAATATTGAAAATTCGAAATCTCACACTGATTCTCGCACAAGTTTCTCTTCGCTCGCAGAGGGTGTGAGGAATATTTCGGAGGAGGACTCTTGATGGGCGGAAAAACAATAAGTTGCTGAATATATTAACCAAGCTGTTTGGGGTTGTGCACCATTATTTAAGGTGCTTAATTACCAAAGGAAACTAGCGATCGATCACTGCCCTACGTCATCGCGCAGCTATTGTGTCGCATCCTGTTTCAGTCGTGCATCGTCATTTCCCCGATAGCTTGAAATGGAGGCCCATGGAGAGAGAGCGAGAGAGAGAGAGAGAGAGAGAGAGAGAGAGAGAGAGAGAGGGAGGAAGAGAGAAGGAGAGAGAGAGAGAGAGAGAGAGAGAGGGAGGGAGGGAGAGAGAGAAAGAGAGAGAAGGAGAGAGAGAGAGAGAGAGAGAGAGAGAGAGAGAGAGAGAGAGAGAGAGAGAGAGAGCGAGAGAGCTCGCGCGACAAGGAGGAGATAAGAAGAAAAAAGAAGAACGCGAATTCAGGAGTAATTCGCAATCATGCGTGAACAGCTGACACTTGAGATTAGGTAAAACGCGCTTTGCGCCAGCGATTTGCGCTAAATCGCCTTTACTTAGCCTGCAAATGTGCAAGAAACGTACAATCTGCTCGAGCGATGACGCCGCACGGAACTGACCGACAAGATCATGCCGGTTTTCTCTCCATTACCTTAATTATGTGTTCCGCGGGGAAAAATTTACTCCATTCTACAAGCGTTCTACAAGCGTCGTCTACTCTGCCGAAAACATCTCGCGCCTATAATTTGTAACTCGCGACAGAATTCGAGGAGAAAGTCTACCTACAAGATTCGACGTTCGAAAAATTCATCCCCTTCGGCACGACGATGCTTTTATATATTCTCAACCAATAGTCGATTTTTAATCACGCGTCAAAAGATGCGTAAAGACGGGAGGAAGGGAGGGAGGAAGAAAATCTAGACGGCTTCACCGTTGCCTTGTCCTGTCCAGAATTTCCAGCTTGTGTCCGTGACTCCAAATATTCACATAGAATTTAGACGTACTCGTGAGCGGCGTTGAAGTTGACTCGTGAGCCATCTCGTTTCTCGCTTTCAGCGGGAGAACTCTGATTTGATATCCCTACCGATTGTCGAAATAACTGTCAGTCCTCGGATATAGTCCTTCGGATCGAGTTCATAATCGAGTGGATGCGAAAAAAACGAGATCTGCGAGATGATCGCGTATCGCGAGACAAGGGGAGGAAGGGGGACAAAAGAATTGATCCTCCGGCCTCTAGCTCGCGCCCATTGAGGGACAGAGGGTACGTGAAGATGTACCAGCGGTCTAAGTATGCTGCATGTTCGTAAAAGTACAGCAGTAAAGTTGCCCAAGGTGCCCATCGTCTGGCACCAGCTCTGGGCGTGAACCGGAGGCGTGGACTAGCTTGGGCTCTCTCCGCGCCGGGATTGGCCGTTGTTAATGACGGTGTCGGGAACGTGGGTCTCTTTTGCTGTTCTGTTAAGCGGCATACGATCCCACGACGACCAAGTGAGCGACGAGTTCCCCACTGAAGTTTCCTGCAGCATGGGGAGAGCTACCTGCCGAGCGGTTGGTGGGAGCACCCGATCGCCAGTTACCCCCGATACCTCATCCCTGAGAAGCTTAGTCAGGATCAACGAGCCGATCTCTCAAGATCTATTTGGTTAGCTTGCTTTGGTGACGAGTCGACAGTATAGACTCGCTAGATAAACGTCGCGAAGCATCCGTCGGGTTAGTTTGGCGGAAACGTGAAGAGCAGCGTACACTGCGATTTCCTTCGTCAGCCAGAGAAAGGAGCATCCTCAGTTGCGACGCGAGTTGGATACTCGGGCCGGCCGGAGACACGGGGGGGGGAGCGAGGGGGCCGTAATTTCGACCTTTCATACGTGCTAGACGCTGCGATGGGATTGTAAATTGTAAACGGTTCGTCGAGCGTCAGATTGTGGACGAGAGAGAGAGAGAAAGAGAGAGAGAGAGAGAGAGAGAGAGAGAGAGAGAGAGAGAGAGAAAGAGAGAGCGGGTGATCAGAGGACCATCGACGTCGTTCTTACTCCCAAATACTGTACCGTTCAGTGAGGTGCGATAGTGGCGTTCGTCGTATTCGGTGTCGAGGGAACTCGTCCGAATTACCTTTCCTCGACGGCTCGGACTGGCTGAGATGACGATTATTAATACCCCGATGATGCGACCATGCTTCACCACATATTCTTTCCAAGGTAATATCGTCGCGCTTTAGCATCACGTTTTCGCATCTGGGAATTGGCTTGGGCTAAAGTTTTTTTTTTAACGATACACTTGCTGTAATTCACTGTCGCTATTTTCTGCCACCGCTGCTTTTGTCTCCTCTTCACGTATCTGCTCATCATATTAACAGTATTACTTATAATTCATATTATTTTATTACTATTTATATTATTACTCTCAGACAATATATATTTTCAGTTTAATTCAGATTAAGATTAAAGTTTTAAATCGTATACACGCATACACGATATATAACGTCAAGTCGTAAAGAGTTAAGTAAATCTTAACGTAAATGACTAGGCAGGCATAACTAATGTAAAACGTCAGTTTGCGTCAGCGATATCCGCTAATTACGTTAAGACGCAAAAGGCCCTGAGCTTGCGTCTTCTTACGTCTTTCACAACATTTTATTGTGGACACCTTGGCGAAGCTACACTTGCTTTAAGGTGACTGGAAGACACAGACACTAATGATAATCCTCATAAATTACTGAGGAACGTCTCTGTCGGAGAAACGTGTCTACTTTCCTCTACTTTTCTCGTTTGTATCTTTCTCAGCACGCAAAGTGTTTCTCACGTTCAAGGTGAGGTATTTTCCGTTTTTTCCCACGCATAAGAAGTGATGACAAAAGTACGAAAAAGATATGAAACAGCAGTATTTATTTACGAAGAATATAATACGGAGGAATTTTGTTGTCAACAAAGCAAATACACAGTACAAGCGGAACGCGACCGACGGACGGTATCGATATACATAAGCGACGTGATGTATACTATAAGAGAGAGAGAGAGAGAGAGAGAGAGAGAGAGAGAAACTTGAAATTTTGAATTATTAAATTATATTACACACGATGAAGGAAGGTTAATGTAGCTAGTACACTTTAAAAGCAAGTTCATACTTAAACTAGATTCTGTCGTGTTTGTATATATAATCTCAGAGTTTGTTTATAGTTTTTCATCGTCCAGCACACGTGATATCGCGTGTTTGTATTTTCAGAGGATCGTGAAACTCTTTGGAATGTTTTCTGATCGGAATTATCCCGGATCCTTTCGGATTAGATTTTTGTCGTGTCTTATCAACAGGTTAGACTGTTTTTGTTACAATATGAGAAATTGTGGCAATCCTTTTTGTAGCATTTTTTTATGCGCCTCTATTGTGCGGAGAAAATTTCCCGTGCGTGTGACCTTTCTCCAAATGTTTCTCACTTGTCGTGACAAAAACCGGTGTAAAAACACTGCAGCTCGTATATCTCTGAGAAATGTGGATAGCTCGTGCAGAAAACTGACCGTATAATTGTTCAGTCAGAGATCCATTGTTATCCCGGAGATGAAAAGGTCCTCAAAGGTGTGTGTGTGTGTGTGTGTGTGTGTGTATGTGTGCTTGCGAGGCACTTTTAGATTGGACCCACAAGATCTGCCGTTTATTATGTCATAAATTCAACAGCCCATTGTCGAGACCGATTTTTGTATATGCTGCATCTGAGCAGCAACTATCCAATGTCTCGTGTTACTAGGTAAAAGCAGAAGCGACCATAAAGGTAGAGAGAGAAAACCTCTTTCCTCAGGGTTCCACCTCGACTGACGTAGGGTCAGTCGACGATACTCGCGACTCGCGGCGCGTACATAATGAGAGGTCTCGCTAATTAAATAACGCGATTTGTCAGTGTCTAAGCGCGTAATTTGCGCAGGTAATTAACCGGCGGTGATGATTTACCAGTTGGAAACGAGGAGCGCGAAGGAGCGCGCGCGCGCGCGCTTGCGCTTGCGGAAATCGCGGCGGCAAATGACGGCGGACAATTAGCAGCTCGACGAACGTACTTCCGCAAAACCTTCAACGAGCGGGAGAAAAAAAAAAAAGGAAAAAGAAAGGAAAAACAGAAAATCCTCTCAAACAACGGTCATTAATTATTTTGCAGCAGAACGAAGAATATTCTTCTCTTTTTGTTCTTTTTTTCTCCTCGACTCTGTAATTCCACGATCATATTGATTTATGAGCCGCGCGCGAGGGGGGGCTTTTTCTCGCTCTTGAGGACGCGATTTACGGAAGGCGAAGGCCGGAGTCGCACGAAAATCGCGGGCTAACACGGTCTCATTTGTTAGCCGAACGATCAGTTAAACCGAAAAGCCTACTTACGTGGGAGCGCGATCGCTATCGCCGGACATGCATAGTTTTTCGACCGTCGATTGCACCCGCGGCGATGCATGGCCACTACGGTTATGCAAGCCGCTCTCGGCGTTATTCTGCGCAATCGGATAGCGGTTTCCTTTTTCTGCGAGTGCTTTTTGCCGGCCGCTTGGTCCGTAGTCGAGTGAAGCCCGCTTGTCCTTTGTCTCAGGCGACAAAGTGTTTTACGCGGAAATGCGTTTAATTACGAACGAAAGCGTGCGAAACGTACTCTGTCGCGTTTCTCGTCTCGCATCTGGCGACGCGACATATCGCGCCCGGGTGTGTGTGTGTGTGTGTGTGTGTGGGTGGGAAATCGGGATAATATCTATATTTTCATCAAGCTGGAAAGCACGCATGGAGAGATTGTGCGAGTTAGGCGAAATTATATAGGCATAGTAGCAACGCACCACTCCTCGGACTCGTCTCGCGCGAATAGATTCGATAAGGGAGCGAGACGACGCTTCGCGCGCGAATCCGAATCGGCCGAGTGAAAGCTGCGGCCGAGGAATGGCGGATCCTCCTCGCTTCCTCCTCGGGGCCTTTGCAGGGGCTTGGAAAAGTGACAAGTAAGCCGCAGCGAGTAATTTCGTGGGCGGTAGAAACTGCGGAATTAATTCAATCGGCGTCGGTGCTCCGTGACGCAAGCACGGCTGTTACGCGGTGGCGTATCGGTCGCTATTAAAGTAATTGCACATGTACGGCCGCACTACCGGCGCGGGCGATCGCGCACGGACAGAGCCCTCGAGACAGAAGAGAGAAGACTGAAGAACGCGGGAAAGGATTTTCCGATCTTACCGCCGCACCGCGGCGTAATCATTCCGCAACTCTGTCTCTCTCTCTCTCTCTCTCTCTCTCTCTCTCTCTCTCTCTCTGTAATTTTCCCACACATCTCGAGAAACGCGGTTTGAACAAACGACTCGCGACGCGATTGCCGTTCAGACGTGTGTCGCCGGTGATCACCGTGAAACTTTTCCATCGCGATATACTTTCCGTCGAAGCTCATCTTATTTGTCCGCGCGTGTCAAGTTTTTGCGGAATTTCCTCGCGCGATACGAGTCAAGGCTGTTCCGCGTTGTGTCTGACGCATCACGGTCGGCGGAGCCCGTTCCTCTGGAGCATCGATGTAAATCGATTATCATGAATAACGCCGATAGCTAATGAGCTGATTATGTTAACCGACACACGTAACGTGCGCCGTCGTAACTAATAAGAATATCGTTGCTAACGAAAGAGATCGCCGATCGCCGTCTCGCCTGGACGATCCCCGACTTTTCGTCGCGCTCTGTCATTGAGAGATTCCCTTTTTTCGTACGATTTATCTCGCGTCGATCGTAAGAGCGAGCGTACGAGCGCGCGTTTTTCCGTAATATCGAACGTGCGATTGCACGTCCCCTTTTTGCCGATTCGGATCTCGTTTCGTTGTTGCCGGCCATTACTTACTCTCGACGATTGTAATATCGTCGCTCCAACCTGCAAAGACGATTTCGCCTTGCTCTTTCAAATACCGGGGCCAGATATTCCTTTCTTTTTTCCTCTTATTTCTCTCTTCCTTTCTCTCTCTCTCTCTCTCTCTCTCTCTCTCTCTCTCTCTCACCACGAACGAGGAAGGGATCGCCGGAGCAGCGCGTCGCCTTGAAGCTTAAATCGCGATCACGCTGCCGCGCCTTTAAAGTCCGCGTCGGCGACTGAGTGCCGCGTGAGTCGCCGCGCACCGGCAGTAAAAATCGCAACGACTCTATTTTCTCGAGCTCGCGCGTTCTTGCCGCGGTGCCGCGGTGCTCGACCGGCGGCGAGATCGGGGCCGAGATCGTCGTCGTGTAACGCGAAATTAAATAAGCCAAGCAAATTATACGCTATCATTGTTGTGCGTCGTAAACCGCGCGGGATTTATTGGACTTATCGGTAGTTACGGCGTTGTCGCTCAATACGCGCGCCAACGGCTCGCGCTTATAACTCTCCTTCGCTCCTTCTCTCTTGCTCACGTTCCTCTCTTCTTCTTTCTCTGCGTCTCACCCTCTCTCTCTCTCTCTCTCTCTCTCTCCCTCTCTCTCTCTCTCCCCCCCTTTCTTCACTCGCTGCTTCGCGTGTCAATATTCGCAGACGCGATTTCCCGTCGCTCCATTTTTTCAGACTATTTATCAAGAGGGTTTGCCGCGACTGCCCGCTTGAGTTGCGTGCGTCGAATGTTGTTAGAAATATTGCTCACTGGCATTATCACGACTGTCGAACGGACCAGTGTTTCCAAATTACTCGATCATGTACACGACATAATATGTATATATATACGTATATATTTTGTATATAAATATGCGACTTATACATACATATATATGATACGTCTTTAAATAGAATAAGAAGTAAGAAAAGTTGAAAATGAAAGGAGGGAGGTAAACAAAGGTGCCAAAGACAAGTGTTTGTTTTTGTCACGTTTCTCTGAGTGAGACAAGTTGTCATCGAAATCCAGCGAATTTTCGTTTGTGTTAAACCGATACCTCTATATCTATCCTACGACGCTCTAGTTTCTGTGAAAGTCATACATATACATGCGATCGATAGCGATGTATTATAGCGCATGCGATATTGGAGAAATTTGCAATGATCAAAGATTTTATGGAAATATTTCTTTCTGCAGATCAGTGAAGATAATTGAAGATTGTTTATAAAAATATTCAACGTCGTCTATTCTCTCATCGTGTTTTGGGATAAATTATGCCGCCCGTCGCAAGCCACTCAAGATATCTGAGTATTCACTCGGGATATGGTATAACAATACAGTTTTATTTTTATTTTTCCGATAGACAGAAGATATCTGCGAATGAGTAAATACAAAAGTGTCTACGTTGTTCGCCGATCAATTCTTATCAAGGAGTAACGAAGAGCATCGACGTATTAAAAGTCCAAACTACACTACACTTTTTTTTCTGCAAAACTTTATTTACAAAGTTCTTGACATTCTTTCAACTGAATTTTCACGTAAGATTGTTAATTTTTTTAATCTTGTCAGATTAACACGCACGTCTATTATGAACTCTACTCTTGGTACATTTTCTTGTAATTATGGACATTTTTTAAAAACGTTCTTTTAGAAATGTTGCGCCTAACATTAACAACATGTCTCTTCTATTACCATTCTTCATTCTGAAAGTAGACGGCTCAACTTCAAATAAATATTAAGCGTTCTTCCTTTTCTCTTAGTTAGTTACCTCGCGTTATTTTGTAACATTGCATCCCTTTACATCTTCATATCTCTTTTCTCTTATAGATATTTACATTCTTAGAAAGCTTACTCCAGAGTGTTCAACAAACAATAAAATATACATCCGTCTGTCTCTTTTTCTTCACGCATGACACTTATAAATGTTTGTAATACGTTATAAATGTTTAATTGTAAAGCACAGAAGAATATTTACGCACGCAATATTTATGCTTATATTTGTCATCATCTTTCTGTTCGCTTGGCTCAACGAATATGTACACAATGCGATACAACAATGCTTGCAACGTTTCTGATTGAAAACGTTTGCTTGTACGATCGTAGGATCGAAGGGACGATAAAAATATGATATAACGTGGTGAAATATTGATTCAGATCTCGGTACTATACCAGGACAAGGCCGTGTGAATCAGCTTGGCGGTGTCTTCATCAATGGACGACCGCTACCCAATCATATCAGACTCAAGATAGTCGAGATGGCTGCTTCAGGTGTCAGACCTTGTGTTATATCGAGGTACATTCCTACCAAAGATTCCCCTAAATAATTTCACAACGGTTCTTTACATAAGGTAGAACAATTCTCAGCTTTTATTTCTGATCGCGCCCTTCTGAGGACAGGCAGTTGCGCGTATCCCACGGTTGCGTCTCGAAGATCTTGAACCGTTATCAAGAGACTGGGAGTATTCGTCCAGGTGTAATCGGCGGCAGCAAACCGCGAGTCGCCACACCGGAAGTGGAAGCGAAGATCGAAGAGTACAAGCGCGAAAATCCCAGCGTCTTCTCTTGGGAAATTAGAGATCGATTAGTCAAGGAGGGAATCTGCGAGAAGGCGAATGCACCCAGTGTATCCGCGATTTCTCGACTGATCAGAGGTCGCGACAATGAAGATGACGCAAGAATCGGAGAGGGTAAGATTGCATGACAATTTTACTTACCCGTCGGTAGTGATGTGAGTCGAATTCACACGATTCGAGTACTTAATACGTTTAATACCAAAGTATGTATTATTTTTAATATTTGGTGTCGTAAATTACCTATTGGAATACTGATTGCTATGTGGAGTGGAACGAATATTCGAAGATGCATCCATCTTGGGGTTTTCGATTTCTCCAAGGAGTTATTCAAGTATCCATTGGATTCACTTTTCGAATGTTTGCGTGCACGCTGTTGTCATTTAATATAGCGTAACATTTTTATGTATGAATAAGTAGTCAGACTTCTCATTCTCGTCGTAACGAGTTGCTAAACGTCGGTCTGAAGACACAATCCTCGGGGGCTGCGTATAATTCTGTTCCATCCACCACCACGCGGGATCAACTCCTATTTCGAATCGAACGTAAAACAGCGGATCCTTTGTGTCTCTATCACACCTCGACTGAAACACCTTCCTCTGCCTCTGGGGTTATTCACTGGGCCGCTCGAAATTCCCTCGCTAATGGCGACGGCAAGTCTTTCTCGGGCGGCTGCCCGAGTTTCTTCCCGCGTCCTAACGGAGATTGATGATCGCCGGGAATCGGCGAATCAGCTCGACCGAGAGCCGCGCGCGAGAATACTCTCTCGCGCGCGGCACACGGAATTGGATTATAACGACATCGACTCGCATAAGCGGGCCGCGGCTGCTCGTTACGCGACGCCTCTTAAAATTGAATCAGCCGTTCCTTTATGTTTCTTACGAGCGTCACGACGCGGCGAGAGACGCGCGCGCGCGAGTTTGCAAAAATCGGCCGAAACGCGCCGTGGCGAGAATAGCGAGACAGTGTGAGCGGGGGGGGGGGGCCCTCTTCCAATTCGTCACGCTATCCGCAGTCTGAATGCAAAAATCAGAGCCAGAAATGGATATACGAATCATGCGTCATGTATCGCGACTGAATTAACGGCGTAGTGAAATAAACCAGCCGTGTCGAACCTGCAGCGTTGTATCGCTGCATCGTACTCTGCTGTAAACGTCTCAAAGTGAAGTCTCGCTCGTGAAGCGACGCGGAAAATATCTGCTCGAAATTCTCTCGGAGTCACAAGAAGGAATTTATCTAAACTCGCTCTGGGAAATTTTGAAGGTAAAGGAAAAGCATCCATCACGCGTCGATCGTTGTTCGTCTGCGAGATCATCATCCGCCTATCGGATAGATGTTGCAGCGCGAAATCGTCCGATTGCGCCCAACACCCACTACTGACCCAATATTTGGGCCGGCGACGAGCCCAGGATGCAAACGCGCGGCTTCGCGCGTCACGGTGAAAGGACCTCGACACGCCTCATCACCTGGCCCACACGGTGGACCACCGCGTGGAAGCCACCACGCACGGCGAACGGTGAATGAGTAAATTAAATGCTCGCGTATTAATCGGCCGCGCGTTTCTCGGTGTCGGAAATTGCCGGTTCGCCTCCGCCGGTGCGCAGCCTGCATCGCCTCCCTCCGGTAGCCGGCCGGCCCAGCCGCGCATCGGCCCCGGCTCTGTAATTTTCTCGCCGCCCGGCACATGCCCACGTGTGTTGTACACGCGGACCCGTACACGCCGGCCGGGCCTGATACTCGCGCATGAGTAAGGTGTAGCGGGCCTTAGCCCGCGCGCGACCGCCGTCGCGACGTCGTCCTCGACGGACGGACGACGAAGGTTGCGCATCCGATCGTACTGACGTACGAATGAGAATCGGAATTCCCTTTTCTCCGACTTGCTCGAGTCGGATATATCGTCTTTTGAAAGGATGATTTCGAACGGAACGGGAGAGAGAGAGAGAGAGAGGGAGACATTACGTCGATGAAAAATCACGAATCGCGAATCGCGAGAATAAAATGATCAACTGCATTGACACGTTACTTCCAAATTACCTTGGTTAGTTGGGCAGAAATTCTGTCTTGGAGCGTTCCAAGTTCCACCCGAAAAGCGGAGAATTCAAGTAATTTTATAGAGAGTGAACTCTCCCCACTTTCTGCATCATCGAATGCGAACATTTCACTCAAATATATTCCTTTCATTCGAGTAGAAGTCTGCAGATATCCAGAGACTGAGACCGCGGCGCCTAAACGTATCTTGGGGAATTCTCACGAGATGCGGATACGTATCGCGGCTCTATCGAGAGGTTGCTTCCTACCACGCTGACAAGACAAATGAAATGTATACCGACGCGGATTCACCCCGAGATTGCCCGAGAGTCTGTCAGCCGGCGAAGATGAAAGGGACCACGATTGGTGAGGAGAGAGCAGGGGAGGAAACCTGCGCCTGTAAGTCGATCGTTCTGAGTCGGTCTCTCCTGAGTCGGGCGAGCCTTCCTACTCTTCTAAGAAAAAAAAAAAGAAAAGAAAGAGGAAAAATAAAGAAACTGGGGCAGAAATAACACGACCTCGCGGAGAGGTCGGAGGAGAGAACGAAAAGGCACACCGTCTATTAAACGCCCGCGAACGCGTTGTGTTGTCGAGGAGAAATGACGCTTTTGTCTGGCGATTGTAAATGATGGTGCAAACACGAGAGATGGTGTAAGCTGAGGAGGCAATTGGGCCGGCGGCTGATACTCGACACTTCAACGAGATTATTGCTTCGATGACATCGCAGAGATAAAGGATCAGACGTTATCTCGTATATCTTGATTGATTTTGCAACGTTGCGATATGCTGTTTGTTAAAGCGTCACCGATAGATGAATGTTTCGCCCGCGCGATAATCAATCGATAAGAGAATCGCACAGAATAAGTGCACCGTTGACGTTGCAATCGACGTGTTTTCGCACGAATACAAGGTTGTTTGTTCCTCGGAACAACAGATTCGTAACATCGAAGCGTTGATCTCGCCGATGAGCATCCGGGACTCGAGGAACTAACAATTTATATATCTTGATACTCGGTTTGAGAAGAAAGAAAGGTTAGCGTATGATACAGTGATAATGATACCACGCACTGTTGCGTGATCGGATGCAATATCGACCGCAGTCTCCGTGCAGTTTCTCTATTCGATTGAGCTCTCGAGGCGGGCGTGGATTTCTTCCGGTTTGTAATCTCGCACGGCAATCCGCCGTGTGCAATCCGCCGATGCGGATGCAGGTGAGAGAGCGAGCCACGCCGGTAAATCTTGAATTACGCGAATGAATCCCCCCCCCCCCCGATTCCGATAGAGACATCACGCGAGATTTCCGCGGCCGCGGCAGTCGCGTTGCTCCTGCGTCTCGGCGCGGCACGCTCGATCCTGGCCGATCTGGAAAAAATCACGGGAAGAAATTATATCCCTCTCGCGGGGGCTAAGCGCCCCGCGGCCGCTTTCGGTAATTCCTCGAGAAGTTTTCGGAACCCGGTATTTAGCCGCGGGCTGAATGATTGCCAGGTTTGCGCCGGGCGCGACCGGCGCTAGAACTCCATGTCTCCGTGTCAATTCGCCGTCGTACGTATCAATCTCTCGGTGGGACATGGGACGGCATTATCACCGGTGCGATCGAATGTTTCTCCACGAAGGAGAAGGATTCTCCGTCGCGAAAAACGACGGCTCCAGTGAAACGCGAGGTTTCTTGTTTGTGCCAAGCCTCTGTTGGCCCCACTTAGGAATGTGAATGATGTTGCAGCAATGACACGCATCACCGTGATTAATAACGATTACGTAAAGGAAAACGTTTATAACGTCTACCACCACCACGGTAGTCGGTAATGAGTCACGTTAATGGGCTTTTGGAATTGGGGCTTTTTTCTCTTTTTCTTCTTCTCCTCCTTCTCCTCCTTCTCCTTCTTCTCCTCCTCCTTTTTCTTCTTCTTCTTTTTCTTCTTCTTCTTCTTCTTCGTCTTCGCATATGCGTACGTTAAGTATGCCCTTTTGATTCCGCGTTTCTTATACTCCATGTACAAGAAACTTGGAATTAAAAGGGCACACTCAATTTTCAATGGGACCCCAGTGAGTGCCTCCAAGGATCACACCGACACGTCGATCGCTCTGCGGCCGTCTTATTTTTATCGCTCAATGGCCGAGAGCGGCACACTCTCTCGTTACTCTCTCGCCCTCGCGCACATTTCGTCGGAAGGAAGTGATTGCCCACGCGAGGTCCTGCCGCGCGGCACGTCGCTGCTATTTCTGATCGTTCATCACACGTGGACACGGCCGCTCGATCGTGCGGCTGGGTTTAGGGTTGTTGGACCACGTCGCGTCGCCTGCACTATTTCTATCCTCGCGGATAGGTGTCGGCAGATTTGTGAAACTCGGGACGGTGGCGGCGCGGCGCGGCGCGGCGCGCAAGGGAAAAAAAGCACGACGACGGGCCGGGAATAGAGCCCGTGTCGAATTTGCATTAACGCGGGCCGTCCTGGCCCGCGTCAGGCGTCGTCGCCCGATTAGTTGCGCGCCGTGTAAACTCCCCGAAGCCGAAACCGACGACAATCCGCCGAAATGCGCCGGCGGATTGCATCGTGCGCGTGCACGCGGAAGCAAAAAGTCTGCCGGTGTCTTCTCGCTCGACGTCTCTCCGCTCGTCGTCATATGCCCGTTAAAAACGGGCGCGCGCGCGCGCCAAAGAATGCTCTGCTTTGAGTGCTTGAGAGCGTGAAGATGCCGCGAAACACGCGTGGACTCGCGAAACGCCTGTCGCGTCTATTGTCTCTGTTTACTTGTTTGCTTCGCCCGCGACTCTCGGAGCCAGATACCAAATATCAGCTCTGACCGAAAACTTGACTTGAGATTCTCCCTTCGAGAGAGCTGACGAGAGAGCTTCATGTCTCACTGCTTCTTGTCTCTCTATCTTCTTTTTACGATAGTCAGCTACTGTACCGTCGGAGTTCTCCTTCAGCTGGAGGAGAAGGGTTATATATATACGCTCATTTCACACGCGGCCTGCCCGCGATCTGCTTGTTTACACTCGCGCACCCGCGACCTCCCTCGACTCACCTCGACTCACCTCGAGTCACCTGCCTGTCCCTCCCGCAGCCCCCGCCGCCGCCGCCTGTGTACGTATGTTCTATGTATGCCGTACGTGCAGTACGTACGATTTCGTTTTCTTTGCGCGATTTCTTTGTCTCTCGAAAGCTAACGGGTGACAACGAGCGTTTCGTAATTGCTTCACGGCTTAATCGCGCGTAATCCTTCCGCCGACCTTGAGCTCGGGAAAATCGGAGTCGAGCGGTTTTCAATAGTGGTAGTACGTACGTGGTATACAAGTCTCAGCGGGGATTGAAGTCGGAAAGGCAGGCGGACCGAGGGATGTTTAACATCACGAAAGAGACGCCACGTAGTCTAAGATCATAGAAAGTCCCGACTCGGCCTGAATAATATTATACCTGTTCGGCAGTGAAAACAAGTTCTGGGTCCGATTGCGACAGCGAGCCGGGCATCACGCTGAAGAGGAAGCAACGTAGAAGCAGGACGACCTTCACGGCCCACCAGCTGGACGAGCTGGAGAAAGCGTTCGAGAGGACTCAGTATCCCGACATTTACACCAGGGAGGAGCTCGCCCAAAGGACCAAGTTAACGGAGGCCAGGATACAAGTCTGGTTTAGCAACAGGCGAGCCAGACTTCGGAAGCAAGTCTCCTCAACGACTGGCGGATACAGCTCCATGGCCTATTCAACGCCGTACGTGCTGCACTCGTCGGCACCGCCACATCCTCACGCTGCGGCAGCCGTGCCACCTGTTCATCCGCATCCTCATGCTCATGCTCAGAACTTACCGGATGGGGCATTTTCCGCGAATCAAGGTGCGAAGGATTTGGAATGTGGAATGTTCGCGTTCAGACGATTCTCTTTCTTCCCGAATTCACGAGCCTTGAAACTCTGAAGAGGACTTTCCAAATCTTGAGTCTCAGCCGTTTACTCATTGCTGTACAGTGACGTGGAAACATTCCTTTTTCTTTCACGTTTGCATGGATGTCAAGTTGCAAGTTGTGATAAACAATGCGTTTATCTTTTTGTGGCACGATGTATCTCGCGCTTTCGCAGCGTTATGGCAACGAGGAACGACAACGACGACGACGTTCGAGCGTCGAGGGATAAAACTAATCAGCTATTTCCCGTTTCAGTTGCTGATCTGTATCCCCATCATTCGGCAATGTCTCAACAATTGGTGGCAAATCCTCCGCGTCTATCATCGTCCATTGCATCCGCCCCGCCTTACAGCTTCGCAGCCGCATCGGCTTATCATTCTGCCTCGCTGCTGCCGGCATCGTCCGCGGTCACTCCCATGAGTCACCAAGTGTCCCCCGTACCCTCTACCTCATCTACCTTTCAAGCCGCCGGTCATCACCAGTTGCCACCGACGCCGAATTCTCTCGTTACCATGATGGGACCGAATTCCGGCAACTCAAATTCCGTTCCCGAACAGCTAAATGCGCCGGAGTTACCAATCAATCCAGTCTCGCCGGCCCAACAGCAGCAGCAGCAGCAGCAGCAGCAGCAGCAGCAGCAGCAACAGCAGCAGCAGCAGCAGCAGCAGCAGCAGCAGCAGCATCAACAGCAACAGCAACAAACCAGCCAGGAGAACGTGGCTCCATCGTGGAACGTTGCGATCACCAGCGGCGCCAGGATGAATCTCCCGAGTCCGCCGATGAGCCTTCAGCAACCGCACGCCTACAACGCCCATCAAGCTCATCAGGCCTTCGCCAGTTCTTACAGCGCGCAAGGTTTTCAGCAACAATCGAGGCCAGCCAGTGCCTATTGGTTTTGAAGTTTTTTTAATCACCGCGATACAAACTGAGGGTTAATTAGTACGGACGAGCTGGAACCTTTCATTCTTCTTGCTAGAAGCGATGATTGCAAAGGAAATATGAGCGGTCGAGTTGATGAAGCCGGTAATTTTATTCAATCAGTGCAGAGGTACATAATCCAAATTACTCGGAGATTAAAATCTAAATGTTTGGCTATATCGTAAGGTATAATGTATCGCGGAGAACGATCTGAAATAAAAAAGCTGAATTAAGACGTAAATAAAAAAGGGAGAAGATAAGAAGGGCGATAAAAGACTGGACTAATTACACAAAGAGATGCATTTTGTGTCTCGTTTTCGATAGCAGACATCAAGTTGAAGATATTTCCCCGAAGCTCAAAACCACGTTGTAATCGTTTGTTCATTATAATAACGCAAACGGACATGTCTGCGGATGTCTCTCACGACCACGTCATATTGATGAAGAGGAGACAATGAAAGAGACATTCTGTACCTTATTTTCAAGATATTAAAGAAATTATTTCGTTTCTTCTTCAATCCCGAGCTTGCTAAAAATTCAACAAATGCCTCAGTAAGGGAAATTATGATCACAGATCGCAAATTTCGTTTAAAGATTTTATTTTGCAATTATGCGTGTTTGCAACATGTATCATGATATTATGCAATGAATCAATTAATTCTTTGACTGCGAGTAAAATTGACATTTGCGCAAATCGAGAAACGAAATCAAATTTTCAAGCGCCATACGTTATATTTCGCAAACAGATTATATAATTGTATAATTATATAATTTTAAATTGATAAAAAATTGAAATTCTTCTTCCCTTAGAAATCTGCTGTCAATGAGTTTTGCATCAATGGCAGATGAGTAAAATGTTGAAATTTAGATCAATTAAAATTAATAATTTGCAAATTACAATTTTGTTTGTTATACAATATGCTTCCTTCTTCACATTGTCAATTTTATATGGACAAATCCTCGATTGACGACGAAATGTAATATGGCGTTAGAAATGTCAACTCTAAATTAGTATTCAGTCGATGCAGAAGTATATAATTAACTCTGTACGATCAATTAAAGGATTAATTAAACAGCTTGGTTTATTTCTGTAGGCTTACGACGTACGAAAAGAATATGTTAGAATAAATCACCGAGAATTTTCTCATGTAGAATAACGACGATGAGAAACAGGGGGAAAAAGAAAACCGGCGAGAGGGGAGCGAATAATTAATTAACACCTAAACCGTGTTTACATGTACATAATTGTTAATATAGGATTAAGCTTGCAAGAATTTTATTTGAAACACAAACATAAACTAACATCGTGACTAGATATAACTTTCAAACGCGTGTAATTTCTTTTTATGTCTTTAACATACAGCACAAAAAATTATATTTTACAAAATGATTAAATTTAAACAAACATTTGCTGGCAGCGTTGTTACGCTGCTAGCATACAACGCTAGCAAATGTTTATTTAATTATTTTGTATAGTATTTTTTGTGCTATGTTAACATATAAGAAAAGTGCAAATGTGTGTGTGTGTGTACACTTGAAAGTTATATAAAGCATCTACATGCTCGCCGCAATATTAATTTATATTTCAAATAAAATTTTTGCTCAGTAGTTTATAGCTGGACTTGATCTGGACTCGATGCTCGAAAACAAGACACAAAATGCATCTCCCTGTGTAATTAGTCCTGTCGATAGCACGTGTTTATGTAAAATCATTTCTCTCGTCGCAACTCGGCTGTAATATACCTTGCGAGCAGCCTGCAAGCTTCTCTTCCGTCGCTCTAGAAGGACGCATGGAATCAGCGATGCTTCGAACTCACCGATCTCGATCGGATACGCGTGTTTGCGCCTGGCACCACCTGTTTCTCGAAAGTTGCTTGTTGCGCGAAGCAATACTCGCGTTAATTGACAGATTTACGCGATTGCGCGCAGTGTTTGCATCAGATCGGAGCAAATCGATTTTTACTCCGCAATTTACCGTCTGTTGCTTAATTCCCCGCTCTTGCCGACACTCCCAACTGTCGACGAACGATTTGCCGTTGAACTTTTCTTCCACGTTTGGGCTATTGATTTTTCCCCTCTGCCATGTCTCTACCATGTAAAATCGCTCCCACCGAAAATCGTAACCAAGATGGACATTACGCAGAAAAAGTCCAGGGTGGTCGCTTATTCTGTCTTATCATCGCCGGGTACAGTTGCACACTTATAAAATGGAATATTCACAAGCCACATGCGATCGATCCCATGATGTACACACAAGTATCTTGGGAAATGCATTTCCAAAGTCATTCAGGTGGGAAGTAAATCGGTCGATCCAAACATCGCGAATATCTCCAATGCAATTTGTCGTACGAGCGCATCCTAATCGACGAGAAAATTAAATCTTTCAATCATTGACGAGCATTCGAAGAGATTCTTCTAAAAGGTCCGTAAAATTAGGCCCACTCTTATCGAGCTCGCCATGTTACGAGACATCGCGCATTTTGCAAAACTCCAACAGTCAAGAGGAAATTTTCGAGAGAAAGTAGTGAGAAAAATTTTTATATGAGAAAAAGGGAGAAGTATCATGCATACCATGCATACACATATAACGGTCGTGTAGAGTCGATGTTGCTGAAGAATCGTATGTATATATACGATAAGTCGTCGATCCTGAAGGAGTTTCAAGCTCCATTTTACAGAGAGTACAGAGTCGCGGGGTGTGGATGAATCGAAGGGAAAGAGGGAGAGAGAAACGAAAGATTATGTCGCAGCACACGCTGACAAGGCCGACCATCACCTTGAACGATCCCTACGAGAACGGTGATCAGGGATGAGTGACCACTTTCGAATGTTCGTGGTGATGGCTATGTCGACGGCGTAGATGCTTTAAACACCCGCTGCAAAGTAATTTGTTGAAATAAATAGTTGTATTTCAAAAAACAATAGTTTTAGGACCCATATTCATTAGAACTTTATTAAACTAATTGTTATCAAGCGACGCACCATGATCGCACTTATTACCGCAAAATTGTTGGAAAAATACGCGAAAATGCACAATATCACCAATGGCTACCACATTTCCGGCAAACAGACTGCCTTCGCGATGTTACTCAGCTTGTCGGCCACACTCCCAAGACGAACGACGCAATCTCTTCCATCGAGGATTCTTCGTTGTTTTATTTCTCGCACCATAGCGCACCATATCTCGGCGCACTTTTCCTCTCCTCCTCAAACTCCGTCGTTGCCGAACGGCCCGACGGGCCGCAGTCCGTGAATTCGAAGCAGAGCGAGCCTGGCTGTCTCTTTTTCACCTTTTACGGCAAAGAATCTTTCTCTCCGTGCTATACTGTGCTATATCGCTATCCTACTATTTATACATATTATCAGCTGTAATTATGTTTAACATTGGAAACATTTTATAAACTTATTGAAATAAAAAATGTCCTATTGCGATCGAGTCTAAAATTTTGAAATTTATGAATTTTTGTGCAGAACAGATTGATGCACTGTACGGAGTAATTAATGGAGATTTTAAGCAATACGCACGCGATAAATCGTTGTTATTGAGACGCCAGGATATATTTGGATGCAGAACAGATGGAGGATCTCAGTGGTAATTATCGCGCAAAGTACAAAATCTTACCGTCAATGTTGGCTTTCGTTATCGGGCTGATGTCGAAAGTCACACGCTATGATCCGTTTAATTTGTTAATTAGCTCTCGCGGCGGATAAACAATTCTTCTTTTCTATCGACGGAAAATATTTGTTATTGGTACGACGGACTCCTCTTGTCATTCTTATCGATGGAATAGGGTGTGTTCCTAATGGGATCTCGCAAAGAGAGCAAAGAAAGAGGAACGATGTACCGCTCTAATGGCTCTTCTAGAGATAACGCGGATTTTTTTGCACGGAGGAGCGCCGATTTCCGGGTAGCCGTCAGTGGCGAACGGTGATTTCGTTTTCGCCGCGCAGAGATGTGTGTTTCGACGCGAGTGTCAACGCGACGGGCATTCCCGCTAAATGCTCTCCTTGGCAAACATCGATGGTCATTGCAGCTTCGCTAGAGACAGGTCAGTGCTTCGTCTCGTCGTTCCTGCTTCTTTGCTCGCTCGTAACACGATGCATCCTTCCTATCGAGTGCGTTCGCGCAAGATACAGATTTTTACGACACAGATTCTTCGCGTCGCTTCGCATGCTGCTCGCACGAGGAGATTTGTCGGTTGTATTGTCAGCTTAATTTCAGCAATGTCGCAGTTCAAACTTTACGCGATAAAGTCGCGGATACGCGCGAGTCGAAGGATACTTCTCGCGCCGATATTAGCATTCACTCGCGATGACGGATTTCCTCTGGTTTTACTCTGGTTCTTATCGCCGGGGTTGAAGCAACGACGCTGAAGTCAAAGTCAAAGTCAGACTGCAATAACCGAGGAATGTTCTCGATGTGTGACCTGTGTTGCTGGCGACGATCCAGCGACGATAAAAACGCTGTATCGTACAAATCTTGACATCTTGAATATTTATCAGGATACACGAAGCAGGTATTTCAATTTCCGATCGATCTGACAATCATGATTGATATCTTTATCTTTTATTTACTACAAACGGTCGTTAATTGCGTTTGTTGCTTGATAATGAAGTCTGGCGGTCGGTTTGTGCAAGTTATCGGCGATAACGACGACGACGACGACAGCTTGGAACGAGTATCGTTGTTTTTCCTTTCCTGCCTAATCGGTATTGGCTCTCATTGCAGCGCTCGATCGTTGCAGCGAACGATCGCGAGCAATCAGACGTTCCTCGCGATCTCTACACCGGGAGGTGATGCGTGCAGCCGCATGAGATGAATTCATCTTGTCCACCGGCTGGCTGGCTTCTCACATGGCGAGCGCGTCGTCGCGCTCGCGATATAGTTATGACGATTTAATCTCCTTACGCAAGAGACCGTTCGCAAGGCGATAACACGCGCGCGGTATCATACGCACTCGTGTGAGTCGCGGTCTCCCGGCTAAGTCGTCTCTAACCGTTTCCAATTCGCACGCGTGTGACATTACGTGCGACCTCCGATACCGATGCCCGTCAGCGCCGGATTAAGAAGCGCCTATTTATCGCGGCCTCATTACGCGCATAGCCTCATTACGCGATCGTTGTCACAGCTGGCGCTATCGAAATATCTCTTCTTTTCTTCCTCTACAACCTCTATCGCAAGGAATCGTAAGGAATCGTAAGGAATCGCAAGGAATCGAAGAGAGGGAGAAGAGAGACGATTTTGGTTATTACGAGATACCTTTCTTGGGAATCTTTCTTGGGAATCTTTCTTGGAAATTTGACACGCTTTAGGAGAGAAATTTACGCAGAAGAAAGAGAACAATCGAATATCTGATAATTAAGAAGGACCGAACACGTACGTAGAGATGGAGGAAATAAATTTGCTAAAACGATTGTCTTGCAATTACGATACATAACTACTATATGATATATAATATAATAATTTTATAATACGACGTGGTCATTTTAATCTTTCGAAAATTACCTTCTCTCTCTCTCTCTCTCTCTCTCTCTCTCTCTCTCTCCTCTTCTTGAGCCACATTGTGTTTGTCTCAGGCGCCCTCAGTCATTCCTTCCTTTTAGCATGACACTTTTTCAGTCATTCCTTTTAGCATGGTACGCATCCAAGTGCCTGCTACATTGAGTAGTTCATAAAAATTAATTAAACGACGGCATGCATGATGATAATTTGCAGCCAAGGCTGTGCACGATATATCAAATGAGCACGGAAATGCAACGAAAGACATGGTTTTCAGCAACTCTTTCATTAAATATGCCAATAAAAATGCCGCGTAATTTACAGCACCGTCTTTGTAATGTCTTGTGATGTAACATCTGTAACAAGAAATATCGAGAGATACGTATCAGTTCTCCCTTTGATAAAATTCTCTGATAACCATCGTCGTTATTGCGCTGTGTAAGAATGCATAACATCGTGTAAATAACATGTTTATCAAAGTAAAAAGAAATTTGTTCAAATGTGCAGAACTCCGGTCTTCGCTTTCTCTGGTACATAATTTCATTCGTTTTTAATTAAAATAAAATACGTGAGGAATGCATCTCGTTTAAATTGTCCGTGTTGAAAGCTGGTGTGTTAATTAAGATGTATTATTTGTAAATCTCGTTGCTCTATATGAGACGTTCCTTCTCGTCAATTTCTCTTCTGACGTCTTTATCCTCTTATTTGCCGGGCGCGTCAACACAAAGAGTCGTTATGAAACTTACGAATGCTAATTACAATTTGTATAACCTTGGCGATGTTTATGCAAATTGATGCCGAAAAGTTTGAAGATCGACAGAAACTCGATAAACTTGTCACATGTTCATAACGGAGTGTATCTTTGTTGATTGAATCAATATAGTCTCGACGTAGTATTTCAACAATCTCTCTCATTAACTGTTCATTCTATCCAGGCTAATTGAACGAGGCAGTTGTTTCGAATTAACTAACCCATGTGTGTGACGCGATGTGATCCCATGACGATTTTTATTTGATATAAGCATGAATAATGTACGAGAAGTGTCGTTATAACTAGCGCGAGCAATCAATCTGAAATGACAAGATGGAGCTTCGTTGAACGCAGAATACATTTTTTATTTATGTTCCGAGCTGTAAATCTGACACACCGTTGTTTATCTTGCACTAAATTTTTACAGTGATTACCTTTACCTTTATCATAATTCTCTCATTGCTGTAATTGAATCGTACTATAATTGTAAGTATATACATATGATATATATATATATATAAAAGTGATTGAATCATGAATGTTTTTGAGATAGGCCTCTTATCTTCCTCAACTAGGGAGTAATTCCTCAATAATAATTATATTTTCCTGTATGTATCTTGCTGACGTCATAATTACTCTATCCGATTAAATATTATTATGCCCAATCGCGATTCGCCAGACGGCCGGCTCTCGACTGCCTTTTTGCGTAATCACTCGCTTTATCAGTCTCGATATAGGATGGAGACGGTGAATGTGTACTTGATATTCGTGAACATCGCCTTGCGCCGATACGACGGATCATCGCGCGATGCGAATGGTCCCGCAGTGGAGAACACAAGCGGGTATAATAGATAAAATCCTTGCGTTGACCACAGTCAGTCAGTAACGAGTCCTCGGATCGAACGAGCACTGGTCGCAAACCGTGGTTATATCGTGCTGCGCATCTCGCGCTGCAAACCGACCAGCTTGCGAGTGTCCCGCGCGAAGAAAGAAAAATATCACCGCGCGCTTCACTCGCCGGTGATACATTCGATACTCGACACCGTGTGTCGAGGAGGTTCGTTCGTATTTATGAGACACCGTGTACTTATCGCGATCCCTCGAATTGCACATATCGCCGCTATTTAAACTGGCTCTTTCCGAGATCCGAAGGTGTTTGAGCAGAAGGAAAAAGAAATAACCCGAGGCACGACAGTTGTGTCACTCGCTCGGAATTTTCCCGAGTGATTCGCCGTATATCTGGAAGCTCGCGTTTCTCTCGAATCGCAAACAGAGAAGAGACAACTTGGCAGACAATTCAAACAAAGAGAGAGAGAGAGAGAGAGAGAGAGACAAAGGGAAAGAGAAAGGGAGAAATCGCTCAGTCGCGAAGATTAGAGCATTCGCAACTGATGTTCGAAAAAAACAAGACCTCGCACATCCGCGGAACATTATCGAGAGAATAATTCGAACGACCGGCCGGTTCAACGAAGAGAACAGCTGACGACGTTTATACTGCGATACGCGTGAACGATATTGCATATTAAAAAGCAAGACTGAAGATAGGAAAAAAAAAAAGAGAGGAAGAGGAGGGTAGAGTATTCGCATATTTAAAACCAGTATATCTTACGAGAAAGGCCGCATTGCAACACGGGCAGTTGATTATTTTCCGTGCCGCTCCAAGTCTCGTATCGTTCAAACAGCCGAAGTAACGCGCGGTTGCTGAGTGTAAATAAAATTTTAAGTGCCTCGTGGTGCAATAGCGGATTCATTGTCAATTATGTAAACGCAGTATCGTTCTCGCAGCTCAAACGTACTACGAAACGTTTACGTGTGAAAGAAGAAATTGACAATTGACGCGCGAAAGGGGCGCGAAGATTCGAATTTAATGAAACCGGAAACAGTGACACTTGTGACAGACATTAGAGATTAGAGATCCCTTCGAAACTGCCTATTTTGAGCTCGAACAAAAGAGTTATTTGTCGAGGCTTAACGTCACAGTATTACCCGATCGCGAAACGCGCGGTTAACAAAGGAATTGATAAGCGCGAATAGCGAACGAACTCGTCATGGAGAATAACACAGTGGACGTGATCAATAACCCAAACATCAGTATTAACGCATCGACATGCTTGGAAGTCAAGGTATGTACCGGTATCTTCGATCTCAAATATTCCTTCGAAATTTTTGTCATATTTCCTTAGAGCGTGATGAAACGCGAGCTCTTGAAACTTGCTCTTTGATTCCCTCTCTTTGAACTGCTTGTTCGCATTCGCAAATTAATTACGAGCCTTTTTTTTACAACTTCGTTATCGTGCTCGAGTGCTCGAGTGTCGCAATCATCTGTCTCTTAATACTTTCCATAAGACGATTTTTTGAAATCAACCTTAGAAGATTGTTGATCATCTTACGAGATGAATGTGATGACAATATTTCGGAAGTTTGCTGGAATTTCTCGCTATCGTGAAATATCGAGAATGACTTGACATTAAAAGGAGCTACATGCCAAAAGGGGGGAGGGGGAGGGCATTATCGGAAGATACAGAGGGCATGATCGCTAGAAGCGAACTGATACGCTTCGTGTTTAAGTATACTCTCTTTCTCTATGAGACCAAGAAAATATTTGGGCGGCATGCTCGATGCTATCAAAAATTCGGCAATTTATTCGTTTTCCTCCTTTCGTTGATACGATTCATCTTTCTCAATATTGCGAGACGGTAAAATAGTAGAAAAAAAGAAACGAAACACAATGAAATCCTGACGCATCTTCATTCAAGCTCTATTTTAAGGTTGACATTTTAGGTTAAACACGTAAAAATAATAATACCGGCACGATCTAAAATCTGTCTTGATCTCTTTTCCTTGCAGGCAGAACCCGACGTACACGAGAAAAAGAGACGAGAGCGGAAAGGAGTAATTTATCAAGTATGCTAAACTTCTTTTATCTTCTTATAACAGCATAAGCCGTCGCGCGCGTTACGCTAAGTATATCCCTTAAAAAAAAGTTTGGGCGAATCTTAAAGGATGGTCTCGTTCTCGTCAATGACGACGACGTCACGAGGCACTTATTCAAAGCGGATTCTACACATCTCACCTGTGTAGAAATAACGCGCATATTTCAGCGCCGAGTGTCATTACGGGATCTTTTGTCCCGTCGAGAGCAAACAGCTCATTAATACCGATAATTATATGATTTATTGTTTAACATCAATTGTAGCGGGTTTTCTCGCTTGAAAAATACACGAATGGAGAGCAATTCACGCATTCAATGTACGTCTATATGTTGCTTATTCATTTTTTATCACGTCGTGATGTCGTTTCTCATACGTATTAGTGGAATATTGTATAATTGTATAGAAATTATACAGTAATTATCATACGACTGTCGTCGTATACGCGAGCCCGCAACTGATACCGCAATCTATTTTTGCGCTTTCGAGATGCCGATATTATCACGGCGCGCTGACACATCCCGTTTCTCACTCATCGTTTCCTCTTTGCACTCATCTCGGATGCGTCTCATCCTACGTACGTGAAGTTGAGGGATACGCGACAACAAGAGGAAACGCAAATTTAATGACGAAATAAAAACAAGATGTGTAGTAATCGCAATCTTCTAGTAAATAGAACTTTTAACGATAAATTATGTAGATTAGTGCAGAGACACGTGTATATGCTAGATAAGACGCTTCTATGACTGATCATTAACCGGATGGAAGAAATTCGCAAAAAAGTCGTCGTGTTGACCTTGCAGCGATCAGCAACTGAAAAATGAGGATACACGATAGCGCCGTGACACGCGTTAAAATATAAAATTTTTCCTTCGATTATGAGAGAAAAAAAAAGGGGGGAAAAAAGCAGGCGAGAAAGATTCAAGCAATTACCACACCCGCTCCGATTCTTACTTCTACTCAGCGCGTTGATTTGTATCTAGTTGATTTCAACAGAACTAGTAGAAAAAAAAAAGAACAGATTAGTCGGCTAATCCGCCGGCATTCCTCGCTTTGCGCAAAATAATGCTATTCTTGAAATACGCCGGTTTACATCTGCATTATCTCTGGCTCGCGTCGTATCTCTTCGACATACAAATGTTGAGACAATGCCGCAATTAAAGTTAATGCGCGCCGCGAACAGAGAGGAACGTATCTGTCTCCGCGGTTCGCGAGCCGCTCGCACAAGCCGTACGACGGTATACTCGCCGGGAGAGTTATCGCTCTCGTGTCAACGAATAGAAGACTACGAAATCTGAAGATCCAAAGTGACGATAAGATACACTCTATCTACGCGTTACGACTCGCGCGATTAATTCGCAACGCGCATATCATCACCTCCGAAAAGACAGCACCGTGAAATTATAGTCGTTGCATCTGAGCGGTCTGAGTTCTCACGAGACGTTGTTTAATTACCGGCCACCACCACCACCCCCCCTCCCCTCCCCCGCCCGACTTTCCGTCCGTGCAGTCGTTCGTTCGTTAAACCGGTTCTAATATTGCTCGCGTGCGTGACAGCCGTTGCAGGGAGACGACGCTACAACAGAGACTACGTATTAGACGTAAAATCCAGCGCACTTTTCGTTAACCTTAGGTGACGCGCTATCTACGCTTCGCTCCTTAACTTGCGCTTGTACGTAAAACGTTGCGCAAAATCGACAATTTTTAATCCTTGACCCCCCCCCCCCCACTTATGTCATATCGCGCGACTACCACATCATGCGAGTGACACACGAGGTCTCTTCCATTTCATCAGCCAAAACATCCGCTGAATTTTTCATTCACGGATCTTTCCTCCATCATCATCATCATCATCATCATCATCCGAGCGAGCGCGAGATTTTCCTCGATATTATCGAATGATTTTCTCTCTCGTCTGTTTGTGACTCCGCGATCTTCTTCTTCCCGCAGGTGTTGATGGGCCTGTGCGCCAATGTTTCGGTAGTGGGACCAGCTATGGGTTTCGGCTACAGCGCCGTGGCGTTGGGCCCACTGACCTCGCCAAGCAGCGACGTGCAACTCGACGCTGCTCAGGCGAACTGGGTTGGTTAGTGTGACGCAAAAGTGCTGTTCCCTCGATTCCAAACCTACCTCTTCGCGACTCGCGACTGCCCGATTATCGTTTGTTGCAATCTGCATCTGGACTATCGCTGACCGGTCGAGAATTCGTTCAATTCGGTCTTCGGGTTAATAACGCGTCTTCGCGCGGATTAATCACATGGACAGTGACGCTGGCGAAACATTTGTTGTAAGAAAGTTGTCGACAAATTTTATACATCAGTTTGAAAGATGAATTATTTTATACAGACAGTTCTCTCTTTCTCTCTCCCTCTCTCTCTCTCTCTCTCTCTCTCTCTCTCTCTTTCTCTCTCTCTCTCTCTCTCTCTCAATCGGGCTCAATTACCTAAAAATGGCAGAAAACGGCCGGAGTCGAGACCAGGAGTCGAAGTCCAGTGAGACTATTCGATCGAGCTGAGTTTATTTATCGTTATTGTAAAAATTCTTCTTCTTCTCCTCCCTATGCGATTATACGTAGCAACCGCCTCAGCGCTGGGTACGCCCGTTGGCTGCTTGCTGTCGAGCGTGACGATGAGGCGAGGGAGAAGAATCAGCTTGCTGGTAACGTCGCTGCTCTCAATGGCCGGTTGGGTGACGATCTACATGTCGAATAACTACGAGCAGATCGTTGCGGGCAGAGTGATCTCCGGGGTGGCCACCGGCATGGCCTCGGTGCCGACAACGGTGTATGTGGCGGAAATAGCGGGCCCCAAGTGGCGGGGCACGATGGTCACATGGACCAGTATCTCCATCGCCCTCGGAGTCCTCATCGTTTATGTGTTCGGCTATGTTTTCAAGGTGAGTATATATTCGCGCGCGCGCGCGCGACGCAGCCCGCAGGTCGCATCACGTTCCGTCAACGTAGTGGTATACGTAGTGGTATATACGCGATGGCGCGTTGAGACTGGCTGGCTTGAGACTAAATTGATTCGAGTTGCGACACCTTCATTCGACAACGCGCGACTCCGAGTCTCCCGGCCGACTGGAAGTTATTATGTCGGGGCTATTTTATCGTCGCCGTCGCGCTCCGCTCGCGAGACATCGAGACTCTCGCGCTGCGGCTCGCCTCGCCCTCGCTCGCAGAGCGATCGTCGTAAATTACGCTCGACGCTAAGTTCTTAGCAGTTTCACCAGTCGACACACTCCCGAAGCAAAGTTTCCCGAAACGCCACACACGGCAGTGCATATACATAATTCATCCGGTCACCTTTTTATCTCTCTCTCTGTCAAAGGACAACTGGCGAATGGTGTCCTTAATGTGCGCACTATTCCCGCTGCTGTCGATCGCCCTCACCTTGCTGGTGATACCCGAGAGTCCTCTGTGGCTGCGGGATCAGAATCGCCCGGACGATGCGTTGAAGATCCTGAAAAAGTTCCGCGGCGTGCCGAAGGACGATGCGGCGCCGGCCGAGCTCATGTTCGAGCTGAAGCCGCGGCCACAGAAGAAGAAGCAGAACCTGCTCAAGCATCTGATGAAGAGGAACGCCATTGTACCGTTCGCCATCATGCTCAGCTACTTCTTCTTCCAGCAGTTCTCCGGGCTCTTCGTCGTCATATACTACGCCGTCGACATCATCGTGAGTTCCGGGGTCAAGTTGGATCCTTACCTCGGCGCCGTCCTCATTGGCTTCACCCGACTCGTCGGCAGTCTCCTGGTGGCCGGTGTGTCCCGGAAATACGGCCGTAGGATCCCGTCGATCGTTTCCGGCATCGGCATGGCGATCTTCATGGGCGGATTGTCGGTCTATCTCTTCCTGAAGGACAATGGCTACGACATCGCGGACGGCGGAGTGATACCGGCGGTGTGCGTGCTGCTGTACATATTCGCGAGCACACTCGGATACCTGGTGATACCCTTTGCCATGGTGGGCGAGGTGTTCCCGTCCAAGGTCAAGGACATACTGTCCGGCCTGACGACCTGCATAGGTTACATCTTCAGCTCGATCACCGTCAAGACGTATCCGGACATGCTGGAGACGATGGGCAAGCACGGTGTGTTCCTCTTCTTCGCGGTGGTGTCCTTGGTCGGCGCTGTGTTTATCGTACTATGCCTGCCCGAGACCAAGGGCAAGACTCTGCATGAAATCGAAGATATGTTCTCGAAGAAGAAGAAGAATACTTTCGAGTTGCAGCCGCCAGAGGCGGTGGTCAGCCCGAAGGACACCTCCGTCGGCCTGCTAGTGAATTGAAAATATATTTACGGCATACGGTCGCACACAGTAGTCCACACACATAGTCATAAGTGTTGAGCATTCGGAAGAAGAGGAAAAGCTCGAAGCTACGTCGGTGCTACGTTGCGCACCGACCGATCGTCGCACAATCGAATCTAAAGAAATCAGACGGACATCGTCGTTTTGTGGACACTTGTATGTGTACATACGCCGGCGGTTCCTCGAGTTACTCGAATCAAACTCATCGAAGTGAACGATGTTTCGATATTCCTCCTCTAAAGTCCTCAAGAATCTGATCCTTTTACGTTTCGCGCGCACGTTATCTCCTTAAGGCGCGAAGAAAGAAACTGAAACGCAAAGACGATTGCGTGGCGTCCGCGCGAGGAGGCGTACTTTGTGATGTAATTTTAAGAACAAGGTTGTAATCTGAGTGAAAATTTTGCCAGCTGTAATGTAAAGGCATGCGTCTTTATCTGCCCAATTTGATTTGTGAGAAACGATGACGCGGACGGTGCCATTTATTGATATTTTACTAGATATGTAAAGTACGAATGTGAATTAAGATAGATAAGATTAAGATTAAGATTTCCTCTAGTCCGAGAGAGTTACTTGCGAGAAAAAGAGTGATCCGTAATCTCAGACATTTCGCGAGCGGCACATATCGTACTATCGTTATCGTTATTATTACTATTGTCGTTATTGTTGTTATCATTTACTGAGATTTATTACTCACGCGTTTGCCAGTCACGCAGACACCTCTGTCTCTCTGTGTCTAACGTGAGAGTAGCGCGATGCCTGATTTTCGAGACGAAAACATTCTTTTGACGTTTCTTTATCGCGAGCGAGCACTTTCCCGCCTCTTGTAGCAGGAAGGTCTCGCAGATTGAAGTTTCGCGCGATCAGTGTCACTGAAATCGTTGAGAGTTCGATCGTTGAAAATTTAGATGAACCACGAGCTTTGCGTAAGCCGAGCTACTTTAAATGATATACGCTCGACCGCGCACCGATAACGGGCGTAATTAATAAAAAAATAAAAATGTAGAATCGTTATCGTTGATAAAGTTATAATATTGTCGCGGAGCGAGTTAACGTTGCGTCGAACGGTTGAAGAATCGCACTCAAACGCAAGTGCGCGATCGCCCTTATCTGAGTGCTAGTGAAGGCTATTAGACTTCATGATTAAACAAACCAATGTTCCGTGTATGTATTTGCAGCGCATCTCTAGCGCAGATCTACGCGGATTAAATGTGACTTACTTTTCGATAAATCCGAACGAGATACAGCGATCACGATCGAGAGAGTCGGCCGATAACGGCAAAGATAGGATTAGCTCGTTCGCGTGTCACTGATACGTAATATATTATCTGTATTAAGGCTGAAGAGCACTCTAACGCTCGCGATAGCAAATATCCGGGACCTGAGAAGTCGTCCTATATGAGTCTATTTCACGGCCAATCATTTCTTTCTCTCTCTCTCTCTCTCTCTCTCTCTCTCTGTACGAAACATTTTTCCGCGGAGAGACGACGCGACGGCGGCGCGGCGTCAAGGAAGGCGGAGCGAATATTTTCAAACTGTAAAACACGAGCGCAAACCAAGTCCTGAGTATAATTAATTTAGAATTTATGCACGAGGTGTCTACCGAAGATGTAATATGACGAAAATATAAATATACACACACACACACACACACACGGATATATACGTATATAATATGCGCATCTCATACTTTATTTTCTTATTTTAACATTAAAATCTTAAATAATAAATTAACAAATGATGTAACAATCATGATAATTAAATAACAAACACAATGTACAGTTTACGAGGTGTGAAAGCGTGAATGAGAGGAGGGGGGGGAAGAGTATGAGCAGGGTTTGGTGGAGAAACGAGGCGAGAGAGGATGGGATAAACGATTGCTTTTTTTCAACTGCTATGACGATAATGACGGTAATAATAAGATAAGCAATAATTAATAATCATGATAATAATAAACGCAATTAAAATTAATAATAATATGAAATAACCGTAATGTAATAATAATAGTAATTGTAATTATAACACGATACGAACAAAGAGAGACGCTGAATAATCGAAATAAATATTGTTATCTCTCTGCAAGGTGGTACGTTGAGAAAAATTTCTGTTCTTTGAAAGTCATCCGATTTCTCGTTCGAAATTGTCAAGGAACGCTTCGGAAGCGAGACGTTTCCTCAGTTTCTCTCGAGTCTCCTTGAGCGATCATTCTTTATATCTTTAACAGCTCTTTTCCCCCTTCCCTCAAAACCCCTAGCCCTTTCTCCTCCCTTGCTTTCAGTGTTGCATCGTACCACCTCGCGTCCCATGACGCTTAAGTGTCAGAAAGAACGATATATGACGGAAATGACGAGGTACGTGCGCGATAATTTAATAACACTAAGACGCCCGTGGAACGTAGAACAAGAAGAAGAAGAAGAAGAAGAAGAAGAAGAAGAAGAAGAAGAAGAAGAAACAAGAGCGCGATATTATCTATCTGAGAACGTGTATTAACACTATACATATATATATATATATATATATATATATATACGAATTACTCGCGTCTCTATCATACAGAGAATTAACGATAAAATCTTCAATCTCTCCGAGTCAAAAATGTGTGTTCCTGCGTGCTCTCGTTTCAAAGTTTCACAATCTACTTTTCCGCGAGAGAGGATCTTGGAGTGTACAATAGGCGCGCGCCCTTCAGTGCGGTTGATTAATAAAATATGCGTTATAACGACGAAATTAACTTTAGCTACTATGTGACACACGTTTTAATTGGAAGAAATGGCCGGGTAGTCCCATTAATCGCGTTCTACCCGTCAGTTTACTTTTACCTCGATTATCCTCAAATATCAATTTTATCGATCAAAGATCGCGCTTGGACCTGATCTTAGTGCTCTTCAGTGCGCGATATCTCTTTTGTCGGAACATCAACGCGCGAGAGCGTTCTCGTCTTACGGACGAGAGAGCAGTCGCCAGATAGCGATCGCCAGACAGGGCGTGACAATTTTTCTAAAACAGTCCGCGCTCGAGGCTCAATGGTCACCAATCTTTGCCGATTCAGCGAGGACATCGTCGTGAATGGCTTACGCGACGCGACCGATCCCGATCGTCTGTCGCTGTGATTCTCCAATCGATCAATATGTACAAGAATGCTGAGGCGATCTCTCGAGAGGGAGTTTCAGCTTGAAATTGCACCAACCACCAAGGACCACATTCGTCAAGTAACTGGAGCAATTGTTACTTGTCGCTTTACGTAGTAATCGCTTTACGAGGATCCCGCGCAGAGCGATTACGGAAGAAAGAAACGTGTGTCACGTAGAGCGTCTTCGACTTTCGTTTGTGCAAGCAACTCGAGCAGCACCCCTTGAGACTCGTCTCTGCACGCATACGTTTCCGCACCTAGGACTTACCCATCGAGGGTACGATCGAATACTTGCGAATTAGCTAGCTTAACGATCTAGTAATGTCAGTAAAGCTCTGTTGGCGCCGGAGATCGAATACTTGCCACCTGTTCAGCCTGTATACAGTCCTCCCTAATGTCAGTAAAGCGTTTCGTTGGATTCGAAGAGCCTCTTCTTAGCTGCTAGTCCTCCGCTGCGCGTCGCAACGGCGAGACGGAGAGCTCCGTACGACGCGCAGGACGATGGTCCGTCGCTCGATTGACATCGGATTGACCGATGATCGACCCGCGAATCGTTGCTGGTTCTTCGTCGTCGAGCTCAGCTCTCACGGTCGAGTCGGACGTCGGGTGTGATCGAGCGTTCGTTGAAGAGAGAGAGAGAGAGAGAGAGAGAGAGAGAGAGAGAGAGAGAGAGGGAGAGAGAGAGAGAGAGAGAGAGAGTGAGAGACAAAGTCGCGTTTACGACGTCGTTGATCCGACCGGATCCGCCTTCATCATGGTCGTCTCGCGCGTTTCCTCCACCCTACCGTCTCTCGAAGCGAAAGCCAAAGGTGCTCTCGGGTAGCGCGAGATTGCCAATAGGGACCTTGTACTTCTCCTTCTCCGCCGGCAGTATGTTAAAGTTCTTCAACAGGGTGGCTATCGTCGAGAAGCTGATGTACTGGACCATCTTGTAGCCCATGCAGGACCTCCGGCCGCCACCAAACGGCAGGAAGTGCTCCGGCTTCTGGAGTCTGCCGTTCTGCACGAATCTCTCCGGCATGAACTCTTCCGGGGAGCTCCACAGCTCGTCCGACATGTTTAGGTCGTAATTGTTCAAGAAGATGAACGTGTCCTTCTCGATCTTGTAGCCTGGAACGAAAGAGACACCTGGTGTGAGATCCGAATTGTCCGAAGCGCCGCAAATCGCGCGAAGATCGACGTGCGACGAGCCGACCGACACGCGACGGAAGCTACATGCCACTCGAGAAAGCAAAGCATCGCGTCCCGGTGCTGCACCGAAAGCTGAGCGAAAGGGAAGAGGAGAGAAATCTACTCACCAGCTACGGAACTGTCCTGGTTGGCGACGTGCGGCACGATCGGGCTCGCGATCAGCCTGATCGCCTCGAGAATGATGGCTTCCGTGTACGGCATGTTTCCCCTGTTCTCCAAACCGACGAACCTGCCCGAAGCCTCGACCCGATCGATCTCCGCCTGTGCCGTTTTCTGTACGTGCGGTCGGGTGACCAGGTAGCCCAAGATCTTGACGAGGAGATTGCCGACTGCCGAGTGACCGCCGATAATGTCCTCGAGTGCGAACATTGCCACGTCCCAGTTCATTTTCGGCTCGGCGTCGGTCTTCACGTGGTTGATCAGGCAGTCCACGTAGTCCTCCTCGGGTATCGTTGACTTCCAGTCGCTCAAGCGGCTGCTGATGATGTCCGTCTCCACAAACTTTCTGATCTCATGACTCCAGTTGGCCATCCTCGACATGTTCCTCGAGTGTAACGGCATGAGGAACGGCATGAAGTCGGCAGCGTAACCCTGGTTCACCTCGTAGAACACCTTGTCGAAGTTCTCGATCATCCCGCGGAAGGGGGAGTACTCCAGGCCGAAGCGCCGCGAGCAGAAGTACTTGACGAAGACGTTCGCGCACGTGTGCAGGATCAGCGGCTTGGCGTGTAACGCGTTGCCCGAGGTGGCGGCCAGGTGATTAACCAAGGAATCCAACTCGGCGGTGATGATGCCGTTCAGCTGGTTGTACCGCGTGGTAAAGGCGCGCGGGAAAGTGTGCGCTCGCAGCATTTCCCTTCGTGTTTTCTGGACATCTGACCAGTTGCAGAATGCCAATGCTGCGAAAACAAAAAAGGAGAAGGAGAGGGCAATCGATTAAATTGCTCTTGCAGTCTTACCATTAAATTCTAATATATATTATACATATACAGTAAACTAATTTCGAAGAATGTATATATATATATATATGTATAATCTTCGAAATTAGTTTACTACTGAAAAAGATTTGTCTAAACAACACACAACCGCGCTTTGGTGCGCGGAATTGTAGCTGCGGCAGCTGTGTATCCGCAAGATAATCATCGACGACGAGGACCGTGTTATTTTCGACATTAATTAATTCGACTAATTATATTCATCAGTGCAGATATGGTATTTTGAGAATTATTTTGATATCGTCGACTCTGATCTCTCGTTGTTCGTCGCGACGCAATTTGTAATGATTCAAGATGAGATCAGCTGACGTCGGGATGTCGCGATGCTGACCGCATCGCGGCTCAAATGACCGAATTGAGAAAACGAACGGCGTTAAACTTGACCTTGTTAACATCCGTGTGCGGTGCGTTCCGCGAGAGAAAAAAATTTGCCGTCGTACGCACCCCCTCCGCTCTTGCGCGCACTCGGCCTTCTTTTCGCACCTTGGTATGTAACACGCACGCGGAAATACGACGCGACGACGATGAGACATCGCGCATTGTCCAGCGGATTCGGCAGAGGAGCGATCGCCGAGCGGCAAGCGCGCTCGATATGAAATCGAAGCGGCGACTTTGCACACGCGAGAGGAGACGGCAACAGGAAGTGACCCGGTTTCTCGCGGCCTGCGCAGAGCGCTGCCGAGAGAACCTGAAGAGCGGCCTTCCCGCGGCAGAGCGCGACGATCCAGCGAACGTGAGCAGCTCGAGCGGCGCGAGAGGGTTAATTATCTCTCTCGAGAGAGAGAGATGGGACTGCTTTTCTAATCGTTTAAATTGCAAGACTCAGCAATTAATCTCAGCAATGTGATATCCTCAAACGAGGATGATGACACAATAAAAAATGCTAGAGATTAAAAAGATGGAGAGCTCGCGGGAAATGTCACGGTTGAAAACGAACGATCGGCCGACACCGATTACCCGCGGGGAATATTTTCATCATCGGGAGAGAGAGAGAGGGAGGGAGGGAGGGAGAGAGAGAGAGAGAGAGGGGGAGAGAGAGAGAGAGAGAGAGAGAGAGAGAGAGAGAGAGAGATCGTACGTAAATATGATACGCGACCGCGATTTATCACCTTCAATTAATTATGCCGCATGACGTAAAAGATCATGGGATTGTGTAATTAGTGTTGTTCACTCTGTGTAACAAGCGGAGAAACGTTCTAGAAGCGACTGTAGGAGCCGCGCCGCGCCGTGACGTGCACGTGAAAAGAAAATATTCCGTCGTAATGGACACGAGCGCGCGATGGAAAGGGTTAGAGCGATCGTCTTGGTTCGTGAAACACAACAACAACGGCAGCGACGGCGGCGGCGGCGGCGGCGGCGGCGGCGGCGGCGGCGGCGGCAATTCTGGTGGATCAGCCTTGATCCTGTTTGCCGACTGCCGGGTGAGCCAGGAACGCGTGAAAGTGGTACCGTGACCTTTCCGCCTGCACTTGGTACCGCTTCTGCGTTGACCTTAGCACGAGTTTCGGACGCTCGCGCCGGACGGAGGAGGCGAAAGCGCACGAGGAAGGAGCGACGAGTAAATCGCGTGCGTTACGCAGCAAGGTGTATACGCGTTTGTATGTGCATGCGTGCGTCCATCCAGCGCCTACGTCGCTCACGTGTCGCGCGCGCGCGCGCGCGCGCGTATGCAGCAAGGTCGTTAGCATGGGAGTAGCGAATTTGAAGCAGCCCTAAAGACGAGACGCTAATGAGCAGCTCGGGCCGCGTTTCGGTCGGATCTGTGTGTGTGTGTGTGTGTGTGTGTGTGTGTGTGATTCACGGTCTGGACGATAAATCATAATCACCCGGAATTTCTTTCGCTGCCGCGGCCGCGGCCGCGCGCGATCGACGAGGCGCACACACTCGAACGGCTAACCGTGACCCAAAGCGACGAGAGAGTACGCGTTTGTGATCTGTCGGCGAATGTAGACCTAATTCGTGCTCGCGGTTGCGCGAGCGTAATCGGTGTCGATTTCGACGGGCGCGATCTGAAAGTGTTTACTACCACCAACGAGCTGTTCTCAATTATTATTCGTTAATTATTCCGTTAATGCGCGATACCCGACGCCACGACGACAAGCTACGACGACGATCTTTGAAAGCTTTGTTTTGATAAATAGCCGCTGAGGCGGCGGCTGACCGCTCTAGGTCGACTACTTTGGATGTAGATTGTAACATTGTGTGTATCCGTTGGCTTTCCCTCGCGAGCGATTTCAGCTCTCTGTTGTGTCTCGCAGCGTTTAAAGGGCTGCGCATGCAGCTGCGCTCGCGCGCGCGTGCGCGAGCACGGTTGTAATATAATTTATTGGGACATTCGCGTTGTTCGACTCCGAGACTCCGAGACTTTAACGCGACACAGTTAACGCGACACACGTCTGTGGGTAAAAATAAGAAAAAAATCCTGGAAGGCTTTGTACTCCACAGTCATGACAAAGTTGTAGAAAGTTTGTGACGAAAATGCGTGACGGCACTTTTGCCAGAAATATTTCATCCTGGGACGTTGGCCGTGTCTCTCGTCGCTGAGAAATCTCATATGCAGAAATTGTGTGTTATAAAATCTCGAGGTGAAGTTATACAATGTACCGATAGTTATAAATATTGATCACTTTCCACGACCTTAGCTAACAAGCGACATTATGTATACGATCGGATTGGATAAATATCTTTGATTTATTCTTACTCCGCAATACTGTATCAATAATGAGAGCAAATCCGTTGCCGTTTCCATTTCAAATGTGTCACGCTTTTGTCGTAAAATTTTTATCTCTGTATAAAGTTTCTACATGAATTTGTGCCATTACATTTTTATTTCTACCCATAGAGCGTACTGGCACTGTTACGTCGCTGAACGCTGAAACGCCTGGGAGGGAGGACATTCTGCGTACGAATGCATATATTTCTGCGTCATAGATAAATTCTGCGACTCGAAGTTAGAAACAATTTGATAGAGAGAGAGAGAGAGAGACTCTAGATCGAGATCGCGAGGGAAATTGAAGAGAGAAATTGAAAAGAAGAAAACAAGAAAGCTTCTTACAGTTCTCCTTGTTGCCACAGAAGAGAAGATGGTATCTGACAAAGTTCGGTCTCGAGTCAAAGTATTGACCTTTGGCGATCAAAACCTCCTTGATGTTCTCCAAACCGTTGACGACGACGCAAGGCACGGAGCCCAACTGGAGCTTGACCACCTGACTGTTGTAGGTTTTGGCGAGGTCGGCGAACGCCTTGTAAGGCACATCGTAGCGCCCCAAAATGTGAAGGGAGCCCAAAATTGGCCAGGGCTTGGGTCCGGGTGGATCCGTCAGGACGGACTCCTCGCCGTCGTACAACTTGCTCTTTAGCGCCTTCTTCGATCTTCTCTGGTCTATCAGCACCAAGATCAAGGCTACTAGAGTAAAGGCCAACAGGAAGCACGTGGTGAGGCTGATAGAGATCATCCTTCGGCACAATCACAGCTTTCTTCACTGAAGAGGCCCTCTTGCTTCTTCTTCTGCTCTTCTTTCTTCTTTCCGCTCTTCTTCTTCTTCTTCTTCTTCTTCTTCTTCTTCTTCCTCTTCTTCTTTTTCCACTTCGCTCTGCTCTTTCTCTCTTTCACTTTCCTCTTCTTTCCGATTGCGTCTCCGGAGATGTGCCGCGGCGGTCTTAAAAATTTCGCCAGACAGGTCGCTCGCTGCGAGAGTATTCTCGACTCTCTCTCTCTCTCTCTCTCTCTCTCTCGATTTCGGGGCGACTGGAGATTTAAATCCCCTCTGCGAGTGATATCTCTCTCAGACCGAGACACGTGGCTGTATCGGCTGTATTTGGCTTGATGAGACGCGACAGGAGCCCGTTTTCACCTCGCCGTTGCTCGCGTCACCTAACCCCGAGCAATCGCTCGTTCACTTTCCTATGAACGTTAACGACAGCAGTGCGCCAGATCTCGCCAGACCTCCGAAAAAAGAGCGACGGGGATGTCGGCTGTGTGATATCTCCGGCGCGGACGGGTTGTATCGGTGTAAATGACGTCTCGTGGCCGATCGGGACGCAAGCTCCTCGTGGTGGACCGTCTGTGAACGGTTCGCCGATCTGGCTCGGTCTGTGGGGATAGGATGGTTGCCCGGCTATCTTATATAGTCGGCGTAATGTAGTCAGCACATTTGCGTCGGCTGTGCGCCTCAACCCCATACATATGGATTCGTGTTGAGACGAAGTGGGCAGCAGGAGGAGGAAGAGAAGAAGGAGGAGGAGGCGGTGGAGGAAGAGGAGGAGGAGGAACAGGAGGAGGAGGAGGAGGAGGAGGAAGAGGAGGTGCAGGAAGAGGAGAAAGAGAAGGAGGTGGACACTCTCGTACGGGTCGCGAGAGAGTACCCCTCTGCCTCTGCTGTTGCTGCTGCTGCTGCTGCTGCTGCTGCTGCTGCTGCTGCTGCTGCTGCTCCTGCTGCTGCTGTTGCTGCTACTGCTGCTACTGCTGCTGCTGCTGCTGCTGCTGCTGCTGCTGCTGCTTCAACGGAGACAAATTTCAAGAAAACCTGAGGAGAGATGTACTCTCACACTCGCGCACGAGTCGACAGGACTCTTCGCGGCCCACAGCGCAGAGGACGAAGGGCCGGAGGAAGCGGACGCGGCGGAGGGATGATCGCGAGCCCGTCGTCGTCGTCGTCGTCGTCGTCGTCGTCGTCGGTGTGGGGAGAAAGGGGGGAGGGAGGGAGGGAGGGAGGGAGGGAGGGAGGGAGGGAGAAAGGGCGAGAGGAAGGGAGGAAGGGAAAAAGGGAGCCGCAGGCGGTGGAGCAGGGAGCAACCCGCAGGTGGTAGGGGCGGGTGGAAGAGGAGAGGGTGGGGAGAGGAGTCGCCGGTAGGACCCAGACCGGGCAAACGAAGGGACGCTTCTTGCCCTTGACTTCTCTCCTTAAAGTGCCATCGGGTTTTCTGGCAGCGAGGAGGTGGTGTGTGCGAGCACGCTGGCGGCGGTGCGACTCTCCGCAGCTGCGTCGGGACTCTCGACATACCCGCCGCGCTATTATTCCGACGCACTCGAATGTACTCGCTCTCGCGAGGCGAGACAGCTGGTCGATTCGCTTAATTTCGCTTTTGGTACAACCGCGCCGCAGGGACACATCGGGACACCGGGCCGGTCCCGAACCGGACGTGGACGTGGACGGAGAACGAAGCTTCGTTTTTCGCGAGGAGCGGCCGACAGCGGCTTGACATGACACCGGCTTTGGTGACGCTTTCGGACGAGAGGAGTCGCGCGCGCGCGCGCGCGGAACGCAAGAAGATGGATTATGCACGCGCATCGGGATGCATCGAGAGGAAAAATGAAAGGAGCAGATCCGTGATTCTCCTCCTCTTCTTCTTCCAGCGTTCTTCAAGTAGGAAGAAGAGGTGCAGCAGCAGAGAGGAGAGGAGAGGCGGAGAATCGAGAGAATCGCTTGGTGCGGCAAAATTGTCCCGGTCATACGAATGAAATTATTGCTTATCGCGTTGTGCAAGTATGTACAATTATTCGCCGCTGTCGTTCGCAAAGGACAAAATTTCGTGTCGCGCGCGCGCGCAATTTAGCCGGGATTTATGTATTTGCAGTCGTCTCTCGGTTCCTCGCGCGCGACGCGAGGAAATTTATGCATTATTATGCGTATATAACGGTGCCGCCGTTCTAGGAAAAAGTTACTGTTTTGTAACAGTTGTTTGGAGCGGCCAGACTTTGTTTACGTCTGGAGAAGCGATCAGACTTTTCTGACTGTACGCACTCTCATCGCGCATCGCAAAAATCGATCGGCCGATCTTGAATCCGAAATTCGTCTCAGCAGGATGTTGAATGGCGTTATGTAACGGTGCGACAACTATGCGAATGCGTACCGTTCGTCGAGAAGGAAGTGAAATGTACAATTCTAATGTCTTCCTCTCGTTTCATGTTAATTTAGTTTACCGTCGTAAATATAGTTTAGACGGGAAACGAACAGAGAGATCTTATCGATCCTTGAGTCTCTCCTTTCGGAATTATCGATGAGCTCGAGTGCGTGTGTGTTGTACACGTCCAACCAGAACCATCAGAAAATGTGCGGCAAAAATATATAATCGAGGTCGGTCCTATTCGAGGCAGACGAGCCGAAGAAAGCTGCCGCGATACGTTCCCGTCCCAAACGGAACAACTTGCGGAATAAGATCAGGGTGGGATCTGTCCCCATCGACGGTGCGTTGCTCGGCGATGTCGTGTCCAGAGGAAATATCAATCAAATTCGCGGGGGGAGAAGCAGAAAGAGAGAGAGAGAGAGAGAGAGAGAGAGAGAGAGAGAGGGGGGAGGGTGAGGAGACAGATTCGTTCTTCGGACGAGGAAGAGAGCAGAAAAGTACACCTCTCGAATTCGTTCGAGAATTAATGAATAAGGCATGAGTTGTGGTGGTGCGTAAATGTCCCCTTCCCCCGAGCTCAAGTTCTCCCGCGGGCCCCGGGGGCCGCGGTCGACACACGCACACGCTCACGCACACCCCCTCCCCCTCCGGTCAGTGCAGCGCTTTTTTTCCCTCTCACTCGCCGCGACAGTAGGAGATTACTTCATCCGTATCGAGTGGTATTATCGAGAGTCGATTTCTGGGAAGCTAGCGGTACCGGCTTCTCTCGCCGCTACCGCCGTCGCCGCCGCCGCCGCCGCCGCCGCCGCCGTCGCCGCCACCGCCATCCAGCTCGCCAAATCAACTCTAGAGAGAGAGAGACGAGGCGCGTATAACGGGAAAGCTCTCTTCTCCGTTCGCGAGCCACGGCCGGAAGCTCGTTCTCGCCTTCGTCGTTGTCGTCGTCGTCGTCGTCGTCGTCGTCGTCGTCGTCGTCGTCGTCGTCGTCGTGGCTCGTCTCCGGGCGCGCCTTCGTCGGATTTTTCATTTCGCTTTCGTACGCGCGATCCCTCTCGCGGCCTCTCGTTTCATTAGCGCTCAGGAACCTGTTCGGAGCACGCGTCGCTTCGCGCGATTTTCACGCGACGCGGGCGACCGGGAGAACGAGAACAGGCCACGCGCAGGCCGGCGCAGGCGGCGCGATCCGCAGAGCCGCCGGAGTAGAGCCGCGTCGTGGGTGTTGCTGAAATCGGAGCGCGACTCGAAGATCGCCCAAGATCTCAGTATTAAAGGCTCCTCCAAAAATGGCTTCAATGCCAAATTCTTGAATTGAAAATGAATCTTCCCGTCTCCCCGGCTTCGCGGAGGGCTGTATTATCCCGCGGCGCGGCGCGGCGTCGAACTCGGCGTCGAACGAGTACGATCAATTTGCATGTTTCGCACCTACACCTAGCCACCCGATACTTTTTCTCAAACTTTGTGGAAATCTGCGCACAAGCCGTTTTAACGGCAGATTAAATGGAGGTCACCGAATGGGCGTCGCGCGATTTATTCAGGGATCGCTATTTTCGTCGCCGGCCGGCCCTTCGCCGGCGGACTGACTCAGCGCGCGCGCGCGCGCGCGCGCGCTCGGGATCACCCGTTAAATTCGTAGAATACGAACGCGTTTTCTGCGCAATCTCGGCTCGATCTTGATCTCGCGCGGGAACGCCTTGAAATCACGTCGTTTCAAGATCGCGGCGCGAACGGAACGCGTGCTTGCGTGCGTGCGTGCGTGCGTGCGTGCGTGAGTGAGCGCGTGCGTGCGCGCGGTCACACGAATCGGCTGCATCGGCTGCGTCCGCGCCGGCCGGCAGGATTGCTGCGGCACTACGTGTGTACGTGAGACCGATTCGATTCATCATTCGAGGGATACATGTAGAGCCAGCACGAAGCGTACGAAGGACCCGCGTCGACCAAAAGCAAGGCTACCTCGATTATCAATGAGAGGGGAGGCAGGCCGGATGTTCTCGCTCCTCTCCTTCTGCCGTTTGACGGCGGCGCGAATGCGCTTTGCAATTCGCGATGGCAAATCTTGCGCGGAATCCGAACAGAGTGCGGAGGGAGGAGGGAGGAGGGAGAGAGAGAGAGAGAGAGAGAGAAGCAAAGTAATAATTTCGAATGTTGAGATACGTATTGTATTATAGTGAGAAGCACACGAAGCGCACGAATTACGGTACCAACCGACTGGAAGAAACGCGATCGATCCATGCCAATGCGCTTCGATTAATGAATTGTGATTAAGTGAAAAATTGACCGCGTGCGGTAATCGTTCTCGTCAGATTACCGAATACGCCGCATTACCACACACGGAGGAGGAGAAGCGGATCCGAAGAAAGTGAGATAAGCAAGGCGGCGCGATGACACACTTTTGTCAAGTACTCGACAGCAATGAAGGACGAATTGAAATAACGCGGATTACACGTCCCTCGTCCGACGTGTGTGTGCATTTTCATTCTCATATTTATTTATACGGCCGTAGTAGCGGACGTAGTAGTAGTAGTAGTAGTAGTAGTAGTAGCAGTAGTCTGACGATGTCGCACGATTGTATCCCCCGAGGAAAGGAAAAAAATCCTCAGACACCGATTTCCGACGATTAACGGAAACGTCCTCGGCCGATAATCGAAAATCGGCGTCGCTTCCAATTCACGATCGTGCAGATTTCCGTCGCGTCGTCAGTCTTCGCTCGAGCGAAGGTACCTTGGTACCTTGGCCAGCAGGATCCGCGCTTGAAATTTATTTTTGGCAGATTTTGACGGCGACATCGTCGATCCCCGGCCGCGGATAGATGGCGACGATAAAAAGTGTGGCAGAATATATTCGGTTCGGAGCCGGCCGGTATATCGAAGGCGACCGGCACCGAAAATCAAGGTTACCCGGATTAGCAATGAATAAGATCGCGGTGGTCGTCTGCCTTGCAGCCCGGCCTCTCGTCCTTTTGTCGGACAGATTTGTAGGACAGTGAGGACACGCGCAGGAGGGACCGGATAGCTCCGAGGGCCGCCACCGGGCCCGTAGACTGGTTGGCACGCTTAAAAATCCCGTCCCTTCCACCCCCGGCGACCGCGTCCTCCGACCCGGTGTTTTTGCACGTCACGGAATGCAGATGAAATTCTCCTACGGTTCTGACACCGGCAACAAAACAGAATGTCGACTTCCGATTACGACACGCGAATTTATCCGAATCTCGCACGAGGATCTCGCTCTGTTCTCGCGCCAGTCCCGTGCCGTACCGAGAGACAGATAAATCGCGCGCTCGCGTACATAGTCTATCCGATTTGCAGATTTATCACGCTCCAAGTTTGCTCGCAACCGAGCAAATTTGGATCGTCGCGACGTGTGCGACGAGAT